TTGTGTACAAAAACTAACAAACAGAACAATGAATTTTGTAAATGTATAGAAACCATTCATCAAGATTCATGTAAAACCTGCTTTCCTCAGCAAGACCAAAGAGATACATACTCCATTCTTGTCCCCCATGGGGACAAAGATAGTGCAGAGAAAAAAAATGCTGTGGGAACAGAATGGGACATTCCAAGAAATGAAAGTTCAGATAGTGCCCTTGGGGATAGTGAAAGTGAAGATACAGGTCATGATATAACGAGACAAGTCAGCAGTTACTATGGAGGAGAGCAAGAAGACTGGGCAGAAGAGGATGAGATACCTTTTCCTGGGTAAGTAGAAAATTTTCACCTTACGATAGGCCCTATCTAAATATCTACCATTGTTTTATTTACCAGTTCTCTGGAGGTTGGTAGTAGCCCCCTGATATAAAAAAAGAGATCGTTGTCCTGGCAAAACTGTCTTTTTTATTATTATATGTTCTCACTGTTAGGAAGAAATAAAGTAGTCGAAGTTGTTAAAGGATCTTGTCGACATAGGCATTTTGGAGTGAATTGTGCTTCCAAAATGGACCTGTGTCAAGTCTGGCAGTCAGGGAGAGGTGATCACTGAGAAAGTAGGAAGTAGCTGTTACAAGTAAATTTGGCCAAGACTAAGTAGGATGAAAACAGAATATGCACTCTAAGTCAAGTATATAGTGTGACCAAAACACATGCTGAACATTTAATTTTTTAAAGAAGTCATACTGTCATAAATCTTCAGAATACTCCCCCTCATTTCAAACACATTTACATTCTTGTCACTTTCTGAAGCAGTTCTGGAAGTCCTTTGGGAGTATCTTTTGAGGCATGGTCAAAAATACAGTGAATGCTGCTGTCAAGTACCACCCAGTGGAAGGGCAGGCTCCTAAGGACACTATGGTGTGTCCTCATCTACCTTATTTACCAGATCTCACACCATGCGACTTCTGGCTCTTCCCCAGAGTCAAAATAATCATGAAAGGTAAATGGTTTGAGTCACTTGAGGACTTTGAGTTAGCTTAGCCATGACAGCACAACCAAAGACACTTATGAAAGAGGACTTCCAGAACTGAGAATAGCAAGAATAATGGGATGTGTTTGAAATGGAGTATTTTAAGGGAGATTAATGACAATTTATATTTTACTCTTAATAAATTTTTAAACATTACCATGTTTTTTGATCACAGCTTGTGAAAGGAGGAGAAGCTATGCTTAAGAAATGTTACCTACCTAGATCTAGACTTGTGACAGTTTTAGCTACTTTGTCATGGATGATTTTCATAATCCGATTGTATTGGAGGTGTGTTACGAACAATGGGACAGCTCCCCTAAAGTCTTTTAAGAAAGATTTACACTTTACTTGATTACAGAGTTGTTAAGCCTTTTTGTCCATCCAAGAAGTCGTATGTTTGAGCACTTGAGCCAGTTTTTATTCAAGGATGATTTTACACCATTTTGTAGAAAATAATGGAACTATAAATACAGACTAGTGCAGTTCAAAAAAAATTTTTTTAACTGGTAAAATGTTTATTATTAGTTAGATTTGCCGTTCTTGGGAATCTTTTTTCCAGATCAAAGTTAATTGAAGTGAGTGCTGTTCAGCCCAACATTGCCAATTTTGGGAGGTCCTTGCTGGGTGGCTACTGCTCATCGTACGTGCCTGACTTTGTTCTTCAAGGAATTGGGAGTGATGAGAGACTCCGCCAGTGTCTGGTATCAGATTTGTCTCATGCCGTGCAGGTGAGTGACCATCACTCTTCTTGAATTTATTCAGGATGAAGTCTGTTCACTAGCAGAACCCTGAATTACCTTGTGTTTTGATCACACATGACTGTGTAGCACAATCATTGTTCTCTGAATCCCTCCTTTTATGTATAGCACCTATATTTTTGTACCTGTCACTGTAAAAGCAAGTGTGGAGCTCCAGAAATCTATCAAAATGGAAATCTGAAATACAGAAAAAGTACAGTAGGTATTCATATAAGTACATTGACTAGATTATTTATAATATCAAAAACCTGGAAATGTTTAATTGCAAACGTGATTATTTTCTTAATTTTCTTTTCAGATTTATTGCTTTTTTTTTCTTCAGTACTGGGGATCAAACTCAGGACGTTGTGCTTGCCCAGTAGTTGCAGTGCCACTGAGCTACCTGCCCAGCCCTCAGATTTACTGCTTTTATATATAAAAGTATACTTGATTTTTGTATATTAATCTTGTAACCTATGACCTTTGTGAACTCTTATTAATTCTGTTGTTGTGTAGACTTTTTATGGTTTTCTACACAAGCATGTGTCATCAGTGAACAGTTTTATATATTTCTTTCCGTCTTGGTGCCCTTGTCTCTCCCCCTTTTCCTTTCTTTCTTTCCTTCCTTTCTTTTTCTTTTCAGTTTTGTTTTTTTCTTGTGTGGGTTTTGGTTTTTGGTTTTACCTGACTTTACCAGCTAGAAACTTCTGTATAATGTAGCATAGAAATGGTGGCAGTCCATGTCATTGTCTTATTCCTAGTCTTAGGGGAAAACATTCAGTGGTTCATTATTAAGTACATTTGTAGGGTTCTTACAGACACTTTACTAGACGGAAGAAGTTCAGTTCTATCCAGTCTCTGAGGTTTTTTTGCTTTTACTTTTCCCCTCATCATTTAAACCATGAATAGGTGTGGGATTTTGTCAAATTACTTTCTTTGTCTAGTGAGATGAGCATATGTTAATGTTATAGATTATGCTGATTGACTTTTAGAAGGTAAAACAACCTTTGCTTTCTTAGGGAAAAGTTGCAGTTGATCATGGTGTATAATTATTTTTATATTCAGTATTTTTTTGTGTGAGCACTGGGGATTGAACCACAGGCCTTCATACTGAACTTCGTCTCCAACTTGGCCCTTTTTGGTTTTTATTTTAAGAGAGGGTCTTGCTGAGTTGCCTAGGCTGGGTTCAAACTTGATATCCTCCCACCTCAGCCTTCCAGAATGTTAGGATCACAGGCGTGCACTACCACGCCCAGCTTGACTTATGCTAGTTTACTTTTGATGTTGAAGTATTTATCTGTAGTTTTTTGTAGAGCTTGGATAGGGTTATTACTACTGGCCTCAGAGAATGAGGTGAGAACTATTTCCTCCTCCTTAATTTTATGGAATGATTCTTAGAGAATTTTCAACTATTTTTTTCTCTTTGATAGAATTCACCAATGAAGCCATTTGGGCCTAGGCTTTTTAAAATGGGGATCTCTTAAAGTTGGAGATGTAGCTCTGTGGTAGATTGATTACAGTCTTCAACTACCCTCACTCCCAGCAGGATGTTTTAAACTGAAAATTCAGTTTCTTTATTTTGTATATGTCTATTTCCATTTTTTATTTCTTCTTGAGTTAGTTTTTGTGGTGTTGGGGATCAAACCCGAGGCTTCACACATGCTAGATAAGCACTGTACCACTGAACTATATTCTCAACCCAGTTTTGGTAATTTTTGTCTTTCTGGGAATTTGTCCCAATTACTAATTTTGATGGTCAAATTTACTTGAATAAACTTGCGCATAGTACACATTTATAATCCTTTAAGTTTCTACACGGCTACTAGTAATGCCCTGTGTTACAAATTTTGTTTTGTTATCTGTGTCTTTTTTGTTTGTTATTTCTCTGAAAAGTTGGGGCTTCTCCAAAGAGAGGTGTTTATTCATGGTAAAGTGGCTCTTCTTTTTGTAAATAAACACGACACAACCACAGCCATTTCTTTACATACTTTATGGGGTTTTGTCCTGCTTAACAGCAGAGTTGAATCATTGAGACAGGCATTTTAGACCTCAAAGCCTGAAAGATTTTCTGTTTAGCTCTTTAGAGAAATTTTTGGCAGGTTCACATTCTAGGTAAAGGTTTGCTACTTTTGTTGATCTTTTCCAAGGAATTTTTGTTTCCATTGATTTTTCTGTTTCATTAATTTCCACTGTAATTCTTTATTATTTCTTCCCTGCTGCTAGCTTTGGGTTTAATTTATTTTTCTAGTGCCTTAAGGTGGAAGCATATGTTAGTGAATATCATCCTTA